CTAAAGAATGACGTACAAACTTACATGGTGCTGTGCATCTTGATGACTCTTGCAACCTTTTCTTTTAATTCCCCAGAAAAGAGCTCATTCAGGTCACAGAGGTAGTCCACTGGAATGTTTACTATGTCTCCCACCACTGTCAAAGAAGGAGAGCCAGACACGGCTGTAGAAGGGCATCAAGCCAAGAGGCGTGAGCCTCCTTGTGAGATATTATGTTATTAATATTAATATGTATTAATATTATGTTAAACCTACAAACATATATCGTGTTGAAACAACACAATCAAGATAGATTAACATAACATGATTTGTTTAGATGGAATATACGTGGCTAGATAAAATGAATTATTTCTTTGAGTGCAAGACTAAACTAAACATTAATTCTTTTACACTTTGAACACGAACTACATTCACCTCTGAGTCTCATGGCTACACCGCACAATCACATTAAAACAATTTTATCAGTGCTGAGAACCGCATGTTATCAGATTGCACTCATAAAACGTCAGGATAATACCAGAGCTCAGCACTGGTTACAAAAACAGAGTCGGGACATGTAAATCAAGCCTTTCCAGCTTCACGTGGCGTGTCGTCATCTCCAAAAAGATGCAGGGAAATCAGAAATCAATGTATAGAAACATCAATATACACTAAAGATTCTAGATTGCAGTGGCAAAGGAGTACCTTCAGAGATATATTTACATATACACAAAGTCTATGTCTCATACTGCAGTTTGCTTATGAAAAAGGGCAGCTTCACACGTTTTCTCGTCCTGTGTGTTCAGCATTTTTTTTTTTTTTTGTATTGCTAAAACACAAACTCTGGTTCTCCAAAACTAACTCCCTGAATCAATCACTCTTTTGGCAAAACCTTAAATTGTTGTCATCTAGTTAGACACAATTTTCAATTCTTATTTCAATTCTTTTCAAAAAGCTCGAAACAAATTCTCACTCAATGGTAACAACAGGAAACACAACACGACTACAGCTCTGTTGTCATTCCGTGAACGCGACAACTCAAAATCGTTCACACTGATTGCTAATAAAGCGACCGGCGAGTTCCAGTGAGCTGAAGGTTTGATACCAAGAATGGGAGGAAACAATCAGAGAGGAGGCAGATGAGGAGGAGTGAGATCTACCACAATAAATCACTTCTAATAATCATGATGAGATCTGATTCTCTGTGATAAAACTGTAACAACCCAAATGAAAGAAAGTAGAACACCATAATTTTACTTATAAAAGTAATCCACATAATTCATTGTTTACTATAATGTTTCCTTGACTTATGCGTCTCAAAACCAAACAGGATGAGAGAATATGAAACTGTCCACATTCATTAGTCTAAGACTGGAGCTACAGTATATACAGCACGTATCACCTGTAAATGAGGGAAGAGCAATGCTACCATAATCTTGAATCTTTACACTATACTCGTGTTTTGGTACATCACTTGCTGCGGTGTGAAACGGATGCTCAGTAGAGTTATTATCTTTACTGGTTGTGTATGTGATCTGAAGACACTGTGTGGTTTTTATTGCTGATAAAACTGTTCCCATGCAATCATGAGGTTTTGTCTGACGAGTCAGAGGTTTTGAGAAAGTAGTTTGAAAAGAGAAAATCAGAGATAAGTATTAACAAATAATTAAATGCAGAGTGGTGTATAAACACACAGTGCATCATGGGAATCCCCCAGCAGCCTACACCTATTGCAGCACAACTAAGGAAGGATTCAGGGTCACCTGATGTAGCCCTAACTATATGTGTTGTCAAAAAGGAAACTTTTAAGCTTAATCTTAAAGGTAGAGATAGTGTGTGTCTCCTGAATCCAAACTGGGAGCTGCTTCCACAGAAGAGGGGCCTGAAAGCTGGAAAAAAAAAGCTAAAAAAAAGTTAAAAACCCTAGGGACCACAACTAACCCTGCAGTCTGAGACCAAAGTGTTCTGCTGGAGTGATAAGGTCCTCTGAGGTCTGTGACATAAGATGAGCTGATTATTCAAGCTTATATGTGAGAAAGACTTTAAATTTGATTCTGGATTTAACAGGGAGCAAATGAAGAGAAATAACCAGAGTTGGCAAAAGTGCAGACATCCTGTACTTAAGTAGAAGTACAAATGCTATTAGTAAAACGTTCTTCAGTAAAAGCTGAAGTACTGATTCAACGTCTTTACTCAAGTAAAAGCAAAAACGTACAGGCTCTCAAATGTACTAAAAGTAAGAGAGTAAAGAGAATCAGAATCAGAATCAGAAAGGGGTTTATTGCCAAATGTTGAGCAGGTTTACAACATTAGGAAATTGCTGCGGTGCTTCAGTGCAAACATAGTGTCATAAATAGCACTTAAATAGACATGAAAAAATAAAAGTAGGGATAAGAATTAAAAGTGCTACGTAGAAAGATATGTGCATGAGCTATACATGAGATATATACATGAGAATAAAAAGTTGCTCTTTGGAGGATTGGCTGAACTTTGTGCTTTATTAACATAATGATAAAAAAATAGATTAGGATAGATAGATATAATAGATGGGAATACAAACTTTAGGCTATTTTTAATTCTACTTATCCTCAGCTTGAACCAAAAGAAAAAAAATCTTTGTTTTCTGTTTCCTACAGAGCCAATGTCTGATTTAAAAACATAAAGACTTTAAATTACCAGTTTATTAAACCCCATTGAGCAGTCCTTACCTTGAAAGCTAAGCTTTCCTCTTTCTCTCCCATCCTGTCTTCCTTATCTTTCTCCATCTCTGAGTGACTTTAGCTCTTTTTTTTCTCTCCCTGTTAAACAGAGCAGCTGGACCTTTAGCCAGCAACACACTGTGAGACAAACGCCACACAAACAGTTTGTATGTTGCTGTCACTGATAGAAAAGTTCATTTGAAAGACCTAACACTTAAAAAAGTCACTGTCTTTATTTATGCTCGCTCCTGTTCAGTAGGGCTAAGTGTTGTGGCAATAACAACAACAACAACAACAACAAAAAGCACCTTCACACTTTTAACCCCTGAGTTTGGTACACACGTCATCTGTTTTTATGCCACATCCTCTGGTGATTAATAAATGAACAGGACCGCCTTTTATGTGTTTCTGTTCAGGCTCAAATCGGTTTAAAGTTTGGATGTTCGCAGTGAGGAAATAGTACCTCCCCCCAAATGTGTTAAATCAAATGTTTACGTGCCTGTTTTGAAAATGTAAGGAGCAGAAAGTACAGATATTTGTTTAAAAATGCAGGGAGTACAAGTAAAAAGTAGTAAAAAAAAATACTCAAGTAAAGAACAGATATCTGAAAATTGTACTTAAGTACAGTACCAAAATATTTGTGCTTTGTTACTTAACACCTCTGGAAACAATGCAATTATATACAATAGACTATCAGGATGAGGCTCCTTGCCACTTTAAAATATGTGATTGCAGACAGCCTGGGCAGCTTTAAAGCGGACTTGATGTCTTTTGCAGTCACTGACTGCAGTTCTTGTTTCCAAGGGTGACACAAGCAGTTATTAGGTTCAGGGGTCAGTTACAGTTTTTCTCTGACGTGGAAGTCCTGTAAACGGTATAACAGCCGTGTGTACTGATGTGTGGAAGGAGTCAGTTTTGAAAAAAGAGAACATGTTTTGAGTGCTGTTTTTCATGTTGGCAGTGAGTCTGTGTGTGGAGGTTTGTGTGTGGAGTTTTGACAAAGCAGTTTTTGTTTTGAGAAACTGAGCCACACTTTCTGGAAAAAAATTTTAACTTTTGAGGCGAAAAAAGAAACAGACAAAATATATTTTTTCTTTTAAAAAAAGATGTAGAATTCTACCTCCGGACTCTTCTCTGTGGACGGCAGGTGGCGCTCTCGGGTATCGCCACTCTGTGTTTTGTTCCGGTAGCGCTTCCGGGTTCTAATGTTTACATCTGGGAGCAGCTACAAAGCACACAGTTTGTTTTCCAGGCTAATGAAAACCTTCTTGCACGTTAAGAACAGCATGTTTTCCAAGTGCTAGGACCTGTGCACAGTCACGGTAGGCCCTCCATGACGAGTGCTGTAATTATTATGTCACGTGTGTTGTGTTTTAACACGTCAGCTAACAAATGTAGCAGGCTCATTCATGCTAACCAGCTAACGCTAGTTGAATTAATCTGTAAACAAAATCATGTTGGAGTGTAAAAACTATCCGGGACCATTGTCACGGTTTTTGTTTTATCGGAGGCTTAAATCAAAGGTGCTACGGCTTGATTGGCATTAGTGTCCTGTTAACTTTATCCATGGATGGAGTTTCTGTGTCATCAATGTTAAAGATTTCTTAGAAAAAAAGATTAAACGTATCCCAGAAGATGTACAGATGGACTGATTATGTTCTTTAAAGTAAAACGGAGGTTTCAGAGAATATTAAATGAGGTTAAAAAAATGTTGTATTTATTATACAGCAGTTTTTTTATGAGGGAAAAAACCTCATTCTGCCCCATGGACTCACCGACCACTTCATTAGGTATAGCTGGTCGTTGACAGATATCTAATCAGCCAATCGCGTGGCAGCAACATAGTACATTTAGGCATGTAGACATGGCCAAGAGGACGTTCAAACTGAGCATCAGTGACATGGCTGTTGGCGGCAGATCTGCTAGTCTGAGTATTTCAGAAATTGTTGGATTTTTCCACAGAACCATTGCTAAAGTTTACAGAGAATAGTTAAAAAAAAGTGAAAATATTAAGTGAACAGCAGTTCTCCAGGTGAAAACACCTTATTGATGTCAGATGTCAGAAGAGTTTGGCCAGACTGCTTCAGGCAGATAGTAAGACGATGGCAACTCAAACACCCACTCGCTACAGCCAAGGTATGCAGAAAAGCATCTCTGAACGTTGAAGCAGATGGGCTATAGCACCATGTCACAAAGCTCAAACGATCTTGAACTGGACTAAAATTACATCCACGGTCACAGAGTACTTTTGGGGTGTGGTGGAACAGTAGATTCACATGATGGGTATGTAGCCAACAGTCTGCAGCAACTGTGTGATGGTTTCATGTCAGTATGAACCAAAATCTCTGAGTAAAGTTTCCAGCACCTTGTTGAGTCTATAGCAAGAAGAATTATGGCAACTGAAGGACAAAGAGGTCCAACCTGCTACTAACATGGTGTACTTAATAATAAAAAATAAATAAAGTGCTTGGTGAGTGTATGTACACGTTGATCCACGCTTCCTGCCTCCTTCCTCCTTGTTTGAATGATGACAAAATTTCATAAGTTTTTACATTTTACAACTGGTTCTGGTTCTAAATGAAACTTTGGAGCAACATAATAAACAGGATTGATCAATTTGTAGTTAAAGTAAATAGTCTGCGGTACCTTACTTGACAGAACGTATTAATTTTTCTGTTGTTGGCCATAACAAAATGTAATTTAATCTTTAGTAAATGAAATCTCATTAAAAATAGGAAATGGGTTAAATATTTCTATCACAATCCTGATGACTTTTTTAGAAAAAGCCAAAACTCTTTGGTGAGCACAAAATATGCACAAACCCTGATATGTACCTGTGGTTGTGTTTAAATGGAACTAAAACTCAGAAATGCTAAATATTTTAAATATTTTATTGTTTATTACACTGACACAGGCAGCCTTCACGAAATCAGCTGCTGACAAAAATAACAGTAAATGATGAAGAAGAAAAGTAGACATACAAGGTCTTCTGAGACGCCGCAAAAGCTCAGCAGGACGCCGATGCCAGTGGATGTCACCAGTGAGAAGAGGTCACCTGGAAACAGAGGGCGACCTCGGAAGACTGCCGCTGTAACCACAGATAGTTTCTACCTGAATGACTGTGCAACAGAAAAGACCACCGATGCAGACTTCAATGTGACGACAGTCGAAGACGCCCAGAAACATCCAGAGACTAAGTCCAGATCTTCAGGTTAGTGGCTCACTATGCCTGTTTTAAACACAGAAAGTTGATGTTAGTGTAAGCTATTGTGGGATATTTGTCATGTGATTCTCAAACTATTTAACTTAGCAAAGCCAGTGCAGAAAAAACAATCTTACGGGCCTCTAATCAGAGGTAGATCCTGTGTGTTTGGCACAAACCAAGTAAAATAGAGTATACTGTATATTTCTCTGTTAATGTGGACACTAGTAAATTGTATTATTGGAGCACTGTAAGATGAAATCAAGTTGTGATGCCTCCTCAGGTAGACTCTCTGCTGCTGTCTGCCGGCTTTGTCACGGGAAGTTTTCTCCGCGCAGCTTGCGGCACGCCTTCAACAAATGGCCTCGGGATTCCCTCAGTATCGTAGACGAGGAGTCAGACGCCGTGGCGCAGTCACCGCTTCTGTTCCACACAGACTTCCAAAGGCTGGTCGGGGTCCAGGTGGACCGTGACCCTCGGCTTTCGGAATTTATTTGCAAGAAATGCCATGCAAAGTTTTATAAGTGCCAAAGCATCCTGATCCGGTTTCTGCAGAGAGTCAATCTCCCGCCTGTGGGGAAGGAGAACCTGAAAAATCAGTGAGTCAATAAAAAAACAAATATATCTACCTGAGGGTGACTGTAAAATGTTTTTACTGCAGAAAAACATGGGGAAGTGTTTGTTTCTGTTTCAGGAAGAATGCAAAGGGTCCAGAGACCTCTGTAAACCATTGCTCATCAAGTAAGTAAAACATTACTTCCTCACTCCATCTTGCTGAAGTTCCATAAGTTGAACTGTTCTAACAGGCTCTTCTGTTTTCTTCAGCTCCCTCATCCTTTACCTCAGACACAAAGTGCCTCCACAGTCTGGTGTCCTGGGCTCATCACCACGGAGAGGCCTGCCGCTCCTGCCCCGACCTGAAGGAGGTGCTGGAGGGCCAGTGCCTGGGCGCCATTAAGGCTGTTTGGGGTTGCGTCAATGGTCACAGATACATCATGGACACTCACCGCAGCACTACCTCCAACCAGTGCTCCAGCAACAGAGCATTAGGGAGTGGGAGGGGTGATGGAGCAATGTCAGAGGAGGAGGAACAAGAACAAGACGGCGAGGAAGACGAAGAGGAGCAATCCGGCGGGAACGGAATGACCTCATCGAGAAGTACTAGTACTGTGGTTCAGCGCAGTCCACCTGCAGCAACGGCTCAGACGCAGAGCTCAGCGCCTGATGACTGGACGGGCGACAACGAAGGTGGGAATGCTTACAGTCGTTCAGACTAACACTGAGACTACCGGTGTATCCGCCCTCTTCAGTTCTTTCAAGATGTTTTATGTTGTGCAATAAAAGACTCGCACAAGATCAGAGATAAAACCCCAACAATCAGATAATCACTGTGCTCAGTGATGGGCAGCCACCTCCTTTCGATGTGTAGGAGCAGCAGCTTTACTCTGAGCACCTCCTGGGTGGCTGAACTTCTCACCCGATCTAAGGGAGAGGTCAGTCACCCTTCAGGGGAAGCTAATTTCTGCTGCTTGTATCCGCAATCTCATTCTTTCGGTCACTACCCACAGCTCGTGACCAAAGGTGAGGGTGGGACGTAGATCGAGCTTCGTTTTTACATTCAGCTCTCTATTCACCAAGAGGCTGAGGAGTATGATCCCCCTATAGTTGGAACACAACCTCCGGTCCCCCTTCTTAAAACTGGGCACCACCAGCCTGGTCAGGAGTTTTTTTTAACTCCCTCAGTGACCTCGCCCTTGGAGATAGGTGAGTCGTCCCCCTTGTCCCAAGACTCTGCTTCCTCCATGGAAGACATGCCGGTGGGATTAAGGAGGTTCTAGAAGTATTCCTTCCAGCACTCGACAATATTCTCAGTCAAAGTCAGCAGCGCTCCACCAGCAGGTAGAGCACCACTTTCCCCTCCTGAGTCGCCTGACTGTTCACCATAATCTCTTCGAGGCAGTCCAAAAGTCTTTTTTCCATGGCCTCGCTGAACTCCTCCCACACTCAAATTTTTCCTTCATCCACTGCTCGAGCTGTGTTCCGCTTGGCCTGTCGGTACATGTCCCACAGGCTAACCAAGCCTGATAGGACTCCTTCTTCAGCCTCATGGCTCCCTTCACCTCTGGTGTCCACCATTTGGTTGGGGGATTACCACCACAACAGGCACCAACCACCTTGCAGCCGCAGCTAAGTGCAACGGCTTCGGCAATAGACGTGCCAAACATGGTTCATTCAATTCAATTTTATTTTATTCATATAGCACCAAATCATACCAACAGTTGCCTCGAGGCGCATTTGGATTCGGTGTCCCCAGTCTCCCTCGGGATGCTGTTGAAGATCTTGCAGACCATCTGCACTTAAATGTTCATATTTTTTATTTTCATCAAATAAAAATATATGATTGACTCACATCAGCGTGTCTGAATATCAGTTCATTTTGAAGAAATGAGAATGAGTGTTTCCAGGAAGATAAAATATTAAAGATGTGTATTCATTTTTGGAGACTCGAGACTGATGTGCACAGACATTCCAGCTGAAATATAGAAAATACTTTTTCTTCTTCTGCACATACTGAAACCCATGTTAAGACCTCATCATTGCTCATATTAACATTTTCTCCTCCTCTCTCCTTCAGATTACACAGGTCACGAGGAGGCCTTGTCTCCTGCTCCGGGTCAGCTGGAGGACAGAACTGCTGGCAGTGATCTTTCTGACAGGTTGGTCCCACGGTTCATATTTACTGGTGGTTTGGCAATTATTAGAAATTGAAATTTTTCAAATTTTGTGTTTGTGTGTGTCCAGGGTCATCTCTGAAGATGAGTTTGATGAGGGTAGAAAAGGAGGGCTGTCTGATGAGGAGTTTGAGCCATACTCGGAGAAGAGGTGGGTGCAAATAGAAAAGACGGGCCTGCTATGGTGAAGTAAAGGGAGTGGAAACACCGCCTTATCTCACTATCTGTTATCACCGGTCTACGGGGCCTTTAGTGTAGATCAGCCTGTGAATGTAACACGATAACGGCCGATGTAGATTTGATTAGTTTAGTGTTAAGTCTTGCCAGTCAGCAGCTGTGCAGGCTGTTATTATGAAGCCTCTAAGTATGGGTCTCCATTGATATACAAGCAGCATGTAAAGAATCACAAGTCTTTAAAAGGTTTGCTGACTGGCCACAGTCACAGTTACACTCTGACAATAAAGGGTAAAAGAAAGAAAAAACCTTTATTACAGTAAAAATGAGAAGCCTGTGCCTGCTACCACACAGCTGCTCTATAATGAACCTCAGCTGTGCACATACATCAGGGCAACAGGCTCATGTTTCCTGGTTGAGCTGTTAATTTGCTCTTTGGAGGCAGGGATGGGACAGTGACCACCTTTGCAGTTACAGAATATGTTCCATGTCTTTCTCTCATAAGCTCTCACTGAATTTATTTTGCCCTTATCCTTCTAGAGCCCACAGGGTCAACGTCCCAAACAAGAGAAGAAAAAGCTCAAAGGCCCCAGAGGAGCCCAAAATCAGAAAGAAGCCTGGACCCAAGCCAGGCTGGAAGAATAAGTTCAAACCTAAGGGGTACGTGATGCAGCTTCCATTAAGGTCATTTTCAGCTTGGGTGTAGTTTATTCTTTGCTTCAGGTTTTTTTTTTTTTTAGAAGAAATGCAGATTAACAATCTGTGTGTTTCTTTTTCAAAGGGAGGAGCTCCCCAACATCTACAAGTGTCCATATCAGGGTTGTACGGCTGTCTACAGAGCTCCCGATGGTCTCAAGGTCAGAATTCACTGCTCACTGTTAAATGAAGCCACCTTCAGTTGTGCATGTTTCCGTGCACTAGTTTTGAGTTATGAATAATCTTGGCTTGCTTTTCTTTAAAAATTTGGGATAGCGGTCTCAGGTGACTGGGGAAATGTTTCTTTATTAAATATTGTTTAACTGTTTTCAGCAAGGTGAAACAATTCCTGAACATAGCGCTGTCAGAGGTCTGTTTACTGCTAACTATAAAGTGTCTTGAAATGAATTTAATATGTATGAATGAAATAAAAACAGATGAGACTGATTGTTGCAGATTGGTAATAGTATCAGAGATTAACATTCTCTAATGTTAAAACAACAAAAAAGAATAATAATGAGTTATTTCCATTTAAAATGAATTGTCCTTGACTGAAAGCAGTTAAAATGAATGAGAGCAAACGTGCTCTGCCTTCATCTGTATATACGACTGATTGTGTTCCTGTTTGCTGACTTTTTAGAAACACATCAAGGAACATCACGAGGAGGTGAGGGAGCGACCGTGCCCTCACCCTGGCTGCAACAAGGTTTTCATGATCGACCGCTACCTGCAGCGGCATGTCAAGCTCATCCACACAGGTGAGATGTCAGGTTTGACTGACTTTCTGGCTTTCCAGCTTTAGTCATCCAGCTTTGAGTGAGAAATAATTCTTTATAGCTGTTTTTATGCATGCTTTTCACATTTAGGCTGTTTCTGAAGAATGATACACGAATCTAAAAGCTTCCTCAGACACGTGGAACGCAGTACTGATGTTACTAAATCAATCATTTCCATTTCTAAGCATTTATTGTTAGCATTGCATAAATTAATGTTTATAAAGATGTTTTTTTTACCTTACTTTAATGTCTGAATTTGTGGCTCATGCTCATCGTGTCTGTGTGCTTCCAGAGGAGAGGAATTACATTTGTGACCAGTGCGGTCAAACCTTCAAACAAAGAAAACACCTATCAGTTCACCAGATGAGGCATTCGGGGGCCAAGCCACTACAGTAAGTCCTTTAACATTTTTGTAGTTCATGAGCCGTCAAGCTCTTTTGGTGGCTTCAGATTGATTTTACAAACCTTTAATTGCTTCCTGTTTTCATCACAGAACCACAGAATATGCTTTCAACTGAACAAGTCATATATACCATCAAATGTATGCACATAGATTTATGTATCTGTATGATCCTCCAAGTTGGGAGATCATCTTGCTCCGGTGCATCCTGCTGACAGACGGTCATACTGGGATGAAGAGTTTGATAGCCAAGTCAAAGTTTCAGCCTATTTATTTCTCCCCCTCAAATTCAGGGATTTGGAAAACATCGATAGAACAACGAGATCAGTAAATGCCCTTTTTGACTACTATCAGAAAACGGGCCTCATCATCGTTTTTCTGGAACTGTTTTTACAGTATTTCAAATGTTTAGTCACTACAATTTTATATGGAAAGTGATGAGCTCGGAGCCTAGAGACCAAAGTCGTCTTCTGTTATTGGAAATAAATCTTTGAAACGAGACTTTCAAAAGTCAAAATAAAATAGAGAAAAATAGTGGCACAAGAACTGAGCCCTGAGGAATTCCATAAGTGAACTGATAAGAGGACAAACAGAAATTCACTTTTTTGAGAGAGCGAGAGGAATGAAACTAACCCATGTTTCCCAGTTTAAAAGCCAGAACCCCAGACAGGAGAAATGATAAATGCTTTTGTTTTTTCCTCCTGTCAGATGTGAGGTTTGTGGCTTCCAGTGTCGCCAGCGAGCATCACTGAAATACCACATGACCAAACACAAAGCCGAGGCTGACCTGGAGTTTGAGTGCTTGATGTGCAGCAAGCGTTTCGAGAAGGCCCACAACCTGAACGTGCACATGTCCATGGTGCACCCGCTGACACAGGCTGAGGCTCAGAGGGGCAGCGGGCAGCAGCAGCAGACATACCCGGACCTACACACCATCACGCTGACCGGGGAGGTGGTTCAGCAAGAGCAAGACAGATGACAGAAGGAAGTCTTGATTCAAGGCAGAGATACTTGAACTGTGGCACAGGACCCAGAAACAAAACAGCAATGTAGCACGGAGTTTCATTTTAGCATCAGCAGTTGAGTTTTCATCCAGTGTTCCTTCACACTGACGCTCATGACCTTCTTAAGACTTTTCAGCCGATTTGTTGACGACACAGCAGAAAAGACATTAGGTAAGAGTTCAGTGTCAAAGCAATGTTTCTTTACATTGTGCAATTAATATAACGATTCATGAGTTATATCAATTACCTGATATTCTCTAACTGAGAGGCCAAAAGGACAAATCATCCATCTTCTGCAACAAACACATTGCTTCCTGTAACTGTTTCCAGAATAAAACGGATTGTTTATTTGCTTTTATTGTGAAAGAGCAGCAGTAGGAAATGTGAGGCTGGCAGTCAGGATGAGTATATGGAGTGGTTCACCATATATCATATTAAAAGCTAGTACAATTATGACTCTGTGAAATCTGAGGATAATAACTTGAAAAGAGAACAGTACGGTGGCCCTGAGAGCTCAACGCACTCATCACGCTGACTCTTGAAAGATAAAACAACCAAAAGTTCTAAATACTGAAAAAGATGCTGCCAAGTAGACCAGACAGAAATATTAGAATATGAACTAAAATAAAATTTTACAGTAAGTTAAATCAGATGTTTTACACTGCTGCTCACAGTCTGACAATAACTGATTTCGTAGGCTTTGTGAGTAATCAGCTGTTAAGACCACCGTGTTGTTAATCTTGAATACCTTCATTTAATATCTGACATTCACATTACTGACTGTGTAACCGGCTTAAATGCAGCTGTAATACTGAGACCTTCTCTTTGCCTGATCCAAGTAAAGCGTCTATATGTGCTGCAATTCCAGGAAGTTTTCTTATCGGCTCACTGCTTTTATTAAGTTATTACAAATCAAAGTCTTCTTTTGAATTGTAGCATTGAAAGGGCTTCAGGTGTACATGTGTGTAAGAAAGCGTGTAATGTGTAAAAAAAAAAGAAGAAAAAAACCCCCCAGTGTGAATAAAACAGGTTTTCTTTTTACAAAGCCGAGTCTGAACAGTGCAGTGTTTCCACGTGTTTCTGTTGGAGGGAGGGTTGGAATATTAGCGTGGAGAGATCTCGGTCGATTAGAGGAAGTCCATCTCTGGGCTGGAAGGCTCGAGCTGCACAGACAGCGCCGCTGCCAGCTCCGGGTCCAGTTCTGCACTCAAGGATTCCAGCTGGACCGAGAAAACCACAAGCAGATAGGCGGGACAGGAAGGAGATATGAAGGTGTGAGACAGGTGTGAAAGGGGCAACGGGTAATATACATGCTGATGCACCTTCTGCTCACCTGTCGGAGCTGCCCCGAAGAGAGTAAAGTCAGAGGCGTTTGCGAGATGGCTCTCAGAAGAAACTGCTTGGTGCGGCCAAGGATGTGGGAAGGCTCCGCCTACCAAAACAGATGATGAACGTGAGTCCAGAGCAGTGTGCCAACTCCAATACTGCCATATGACCAGTTAGAAGTTAGAGTACAAACCACCAGCTGCTTCTTAGAGGATTCAGTGTCCGGTGATTGAGTGTTTCCTTCCAGGAAGAGCTGCAGCATGCTCAGGTAGCAGACGATGGCAGTATGGAGGAACCCTGGACAACGCACAGCTCTCTGTAGGAGCTCGGCGCTTTGCAGGAGCAGCAAACTGATTGGCCATGAACACAAGGAAATTTAGAAGGTACAACAGGTACAAATAAGAGGTGAGGTTGGAACTTCCATCTTGTCACGTTTGTGTGTTTTGGCCTGTTGTCGTTCCTAATGCGATGGTGCGTCAGCTTTAGTGCAGAGCAGCATTTAATTTATGTGGCATTCATGAATCAACCTAGCTGTTTGCAAGGCCCCACCTCCACTAAGCAGCTGCAACACTCACCTGCAGAAAGCCCACGGCATTAGTTTTGTAAAGTCATCTGACGTCACCATGGTAACCGACTGATAAATGCTTTGCTCTAGAATTGAGTGAAAAATAAAAACGCAGCACATCAGTTCAACCACATCAAATTCAAATCAGATTTAAAAGATGACCGGAGCGCCGAGCTGCTGTTCACTTTACCGCTGGACTTAAAGATGAGCATCCAATCAGGAGAGTCCATCAACACAGCCAGGAGCTCTGTGCATAAAGCCCGGCCTTCTTCATAGCTCCTCTCCTAGAGGAAAAAAAACCATGCATGTTATAAAACATAGACAGAAATAACAATACAGTCTTGTCTTTTCCTCTTCAATTTATTTTCCATTCATATCCGTTTCCCTCCTATCCCAGCTCTCATTGGTTGACGGGCAGGTGCTCACATGGGCACAAATCCATAAAAAGGACTTTTATACACGCAGAATATCAAAAGCAGCACCAGGGTCCAGAGGTTGGGGTCAAGACCATACTGCTAATAAAATACTGTTATCCTACAAATTGAAATAAAATAAGCAATTATCATATTTAAATTGCTAATGTTATGTTCATATAAGTTGTGCATGTCTTCACAGTCAGTTCTTGTGTTCCTGGACTGTTTCTGTGTAGGATTCGTGGAACAAAAACAGACTAGACAAATGCATTGGAAAGACCTGTTTCCACTCTGAGAACTTGTTTATGAGTGTGAATGTTGCACAGTTCTAAATTCCAGCATTGTTGTTTAGGTGGTCAGTTACCTGAGGATATAGCAGTGTTGTCAGGTGGTCGTTAACGCACAGGAAAAGAAGGAAAACGAGCACCTGGAAGCAGAAACACAACAGCATTTTTGAAAAAGTGACTGAAAGCTTTGGAGACCAAATAAGCAGGATGGAGATGGGCTCAGTCAGACAGTGAACCTCTCAGTGTGATACTTTTGTTCTACTCTTCCCTTAATCAGAAGTTTAGATTTATATAACTTTCATCCACATTATTAGACTTTTATTATGTTCTATTATGTTGTAATCAAACTGCCTGTATGTGAATTGTATATAATAAATTTAAATATAGCAGCCGAATTAACAGCTGCTGAGAATGACTTCATAAAACCACCCAACGTCAGAAAAGGGCAGCAGCTGCAAGTCTTTTGTTGCTGTTCATTGGCTAACTTTGGATGCTCTGTTCAAAAGAGCACAGTGGATTTGTCTTATTAAACAAACCCTTTCAGCTCCTCTCACTTCTTTTAAGCCAGCTTTCGTCTGAGTGGCTGGTGGTGGGTGGGGCTTCTGAAGAATTCACAGTCTTTTGCCAATTAGATAGAATTAGATGGTGCACTAACTGTGAAAAAATGGACAGCACGTAGAATTTGTTTTATTCTCTCACCTGTCTGTATTTGGAGTCTCTGTCTGGTCGCAGGAAATTCAAAGCAGCTTTGAAGCTCGGCTTGTTTGCCTCACAGCCTTGCCAGACACGATGAAGGCTGGCCGCCAGCAGCAGAGCTGCAGCTGGAGGCATCTGCAGCAGCTGGCCTTTCTCCAAGCTGCAGAGCAGATAGAAAGAAAAACTTTAACATGGGGTTTCTGTAGGGTTCACCAAGATAATTAGACACTTTTGAGAACTATTATAACCAAAGGAGGATTCATTTAATGTTTCACCATAAGTGAAAAGCAACAATAATTTATGTCTACATCACATTTAAAGGACTACTCTGCACTAATGCAGCCACAACAAACCCTATGAAGCTCATGAAGGTGGCTGATACGAAGAAAAGTGTGCAAAGCTGTTACAGATATCAAGGCAGTCTAAGATGTGAACATATTTCATGTGACTTGTTCAGGTGTGAGCAGCTGTGAGGAGGTGTACATAATTTGCTGACAGTGGTTCATGAAGGAGGCGTTACCTGCAGGCCCAGTGCTGACATTCCGTGAGGAGCTGCAGCTGCTCCGGCAGCGTCTGTTCATCACACAGACGACGCCACAGTGACAACAGGACCGGACGGAGACGCTGCCACCAGTGCTGCACACGGACACACAACAAAGACGCTATATTCCTGTCATGTCTCTACACAACATCGCAGGCTTCACACAGGCTCTAATAGATCACTGATCTGTGATTCCAGTGATAAAAGATTTTAGGACTTTCTAAATATTGAAGGTGCCAAATGTGTTCAAAGGCATTTTAGTCAGAATGAACAGACAGTACCACTGTGGAGATCAACAAAACAGGACATTGCACGCTGATCTGAGACCAGGCTTTGTTGACTTCATATCTTGGTTGTCCACAACGTACACTGGCACCTAACAGACCCTGGAGAAGAAGCACAACTCTCAATAATCTCACAAGCTCACCTCACCTAAAGGTACAACCTGTATGAACTTTAGATTTCAGAAAGATTCTTACTCTCAGAAAGTGTGCAGTTATCTTGCAGGACAGCACGCCTGCTGGAGAACACGCTTTCCTCTAGTGCATGAACAGAGGGGAGTGCAGGTGAAGAAAGAGGTGAGCATAAAAAGTACTTTTTCCAGCCAAACATTTAAATCAGATTAATAAGAGACATTAAATGAGCTGCTCACCTGATGCTGGTTGATGTGTTCTATTAGCCTGTTGCAGCTCAGTGTTGTTCCCCCTCCATCAGTGTTTACTTTAATCAACAACACAGCTGGAAGAGCCAGGAGCACTCTGACACACACACAAACAGCAATTCAGTGGATTAACAATCGCAATGAGCCGACACGTATCACAGAACGAGTGTGCCAACAATACCCCATCAGCCTTATACATCCCCCCCTTTGGCCACGCCCCTGCAATGCCTCCCTTTTCATATTTAACAGCGTACCTGTTCCATGTATGCAGCAAGCGCTGCAGGCTGACGTCAGTGCTGATGCTCTGTGAGGTCACTGTAGAGGAGCATCTCTGAAACAACACCTCAAACAGGAAGTCACCCACACCAGCTCTGCTGCCATGGCTGCCAGACCGCTCCATCATGTCCATCTCATAGACAAGCTCCTGCACATACACAAGCACGTAAGTGTTATTCACTAGTTTAACTGAAGTCACACAGACTGTACACTAATGAG